TACAAAATAAAACTTTTGGTGTATAAACAAAATAACAGAAAAGAATAAACATGTTCTGTGGTTCCCTCTAGGGTGGATAACAGTGTTCTAGAAGGCAAAAGTGGAAGGAAATGCTTTACTGAATATCTTTTTGAGTTCTGAACCATATGTATATGTAAAATCTGTGCCAAAATTAATTAATTAAATTTCTAATATAATATAAAATAATGATGAATCAGTTCCTATATTAACTCTCTGAATAACCTGGGCAAGTCAACCTTCTAAGTTTGTTTCCTTAACCACAAAATGACCTTTATGGTTCCTTCCAGTGCAATTGTTTTTTAACTGTGTGTTCAATAAATACCAAAAACAATGTTTTTCAAATAAAATAGTCCCCTCTTATTTGTAGGAGGTATGTTCCAAACCCCCAGTGGAGCCTGAAATCACAGAAAGTATTGAAACTTATATATAGTTTCCCTGTACATACATGTCTATGATAATGTCTAATCTATATATTAGGCACAATAAGAAATTGATGCAATAACCAATAATAAAACAGAACAACTATAACAATCTATTGTAATAAAAGTTATGTTAATATGGTCTCTCTCTTAAAATATCTTTTTATATTGTATATACTGACTTATTGTTGGTTGGTCCACAGTTAACTCCCAGTATTAAAATTGCAAGCAAGGGGGAACTACTGTAACTTAACTCTATTATACAATGCATACTACACTCAGGGCTATACTTAGAGACTCACAGACCTAGCATATGCATCTATGCTTCAGCATTTACTATATTTCCATGAGGCTGACAACCAATCTTAAAATTTACTGTGATATTCAATGATCTAAAATGCCACTGAACAGTTTCTAATGGAAATATTTTAAAAATTTAGTTACTGAAATAAATGCTTATAACTCTCAATTCTTTTTGTTTTTAAATTTAACTTTATTCATTTATTTATTTATTTAAACTTGACCAGAGAAGGTGAGAAAGTAAGTTGCCAGGTCTGGGACTCAAACTGTGGTCGGCCATGTAGGAGTCCAGCTCCCTTAACCACCATGCCACCTGCTGGCCCTTGTAACTCTCAATTCTAAGCATTTAACAATAATGGCCAAATGGCCTAAATATAAAATAACATAAAGTTTCATATATTAATATAATAGCTTATATTACAGGCATTATATAATCCCTTCTCTACCAGGATTATTACTGGTTTACATAAGATATGAAAGTGAAAATAAATTTTGGCTATCAGATATTTCAACATTGTCATTAATGCTTTCATATTAAAATCTTTTGAAATATGGATGAAGAAAAACAAGGAAAATAATTCTACAACTCTACCACCCAAAGGTGGTCAAGAGTAACATCTTGGTGTAAATGTATCAACATAGTTTATGAAATATATGTTCACAAAAAAAAGGACTTACATATCCTATTCTACAAATCTTTTTCTAACTTAAACATATTTTGAACTTTCCCTAAATTATTAAATGCAATGTAGTCATATTTCTTCCCTAGTACTTTTAAGTGAATAGCAAAGAAATTAGTATTAGAAAATCATCAGTGACCACCAGCATGTGTGCTGATGGATATAATCAGGCTTCTTCTAACCTGATCATTTGCAAGTTGGTATAAGAATAAGCCTCCCTCCCTACCACCGTTAAATTTGTTATAGGATGTGTGTGTTTGGCGGAGAGATGCTGGTGGGAGTGAGAAAGCGCTCTCTTCCCAGGGTAATGACCACACTGCACCCCCCTCTTCTCTACTCTCCCACTTGTGATTTGGGCACGCGTGCGTGCACACACACACACACACACACACACACATACACCGGGAATGTTTTTTCAAGCTGCAGGGTCCAGGATTCAAACCACACTGTTGGCCATGTGGTATCCACTTTAACCGCCATGCCACGTGGCTGGCCCCAAGGCCCCTCTTACATTATTATTTTATTTTATCTTATTTTTTTAAGACATTTGTGCTATCTTCCTGTGTCGGCTTTTGATGAGATCACAGGCATATGCCACCATGCCTGGCCTTTTCTTTGGATCAGGAATCGAATCTGGGCTTTCCATGTTGTGTCCCAGGCTGTGGAGTAAAGCGCATGTATGACCATAGCTGGGCCCTGTGAGGCCTCTCTTAACTAACACCAGCTAACTTCCCCTTCAAAATAAAAGGCATGACATTTCTGAGAGGTTTTTGATCAAGTTAAAAAATTATCCTAACAAATACTAGCAGATGGCATAATGGTTATGTTGCTGGACTCCCATGTAGTCGACCAGTGGTTCAATTCTCAGATAGATCCAGAAGCTTAAAACTCATGCGAAGCGTGGGTGTGTGTGTGTGTGCCCAAAATCCCGAGAGGAGATGGAGAAGGGACTGCAGCATGGCTATACCCCTAGGGGGTAATTTCTTATTTTTCTGTCTCTCTCTAGTGAGCTCATTTTCCCTATAGCAAAAATCTCTCTCTCTCTCTTTTTAAATTTTTTAAAATTTATTTATTTATTTATTAAACAAAATATTTACATGTTTAAATGTTTTTTACCTCATAATCATTTTTTTTCATTTCATTTTCTTCCATACATTCAATCACATTATTTGTCTTACAAAATGGGTATTTCAACAGGTGAACATTTCTTCCCTAGTACTGTGGATAAAACTATGAAATATCTCCAACAGATAATACTATACCTCTTTGTGCCATTAATGAGTTAGGACCAACAGATGGTGTAATGGCTATGCTGCTGGATTCCCATGTAGTCGACCATGGTTTGAGTCCTGGACTCGGTGGTTTAAACGCATGCCAGATACATGTGCATGCGTGCCCAGGATCCTGAGAGGAGAATAGAGGAGAAGGGACTGCGGTGTGGTCATCCCCCCCCCAAGGGTGATTTCTCGTTTTCTGTCTGTGTCTGTCTTTCTGGTGGGCGCACGTGCCCTCTAGCAAAAACCTCCCCCTCCCCCCCAATAAAGGAAAATTGTCCTGGGACCAGTGAATGGAATAATGGTTATGTCTCTGGACTCCCATGAAGCTGAACATGGTTTGACTCCTTAACCCAGTGGCTTAAAACTCACGCCAGTCACAAGTGTGTGCATGCCCAAAATCCCAAGAGGAGATGGAGAAGGGATTGTGGGGTGGCCATCTCCTCCATGGAGGTGATTTCTTGCTTTCTGTCTCTCCAGGGAGCACATGCGCCCTATAGTAAAAATCTCTCTTAAAAAAAAATATTGTCCTAATATACATTAAGATTATATTATAGCAATTACCATTGATTTCAGACTTTTCTTGGTTGCTTTCTTTCTGGCTTGCTTCAGAAAAATAAAAAAGTGGTCTAAAGTATGGAAGTATGGCTTTGTTCTGTCACTTTTTGACTTTATTCCATTTGCCTGTTTTAGTATTGAAATTATATTAAAACTCTAAAGCACCCAAACAGATGTCACTCTGATCTGATGGCCAACTATATAAATGGTAAAATATTTATATGTACAGATTCTAATTGGAAGGTGAAAACAAAAATGATGCCATAGCTGCTATGTACTCGGGTCACCCAATTTAGAAATTGGAAGCTGCTTCAGAGGTCCACCTTAAATTACAGACTATAGGGTAGGATTTAAAAATATAAACTGAACTACTGTAGAGAGAAATGGATTTTTATATCGATTATACTCTACTTTTAAGCTTAAAAAGCAGTATTTTAACTTAAGATGACACATGCAACAGGTGGCTGTTGACTTGCAATTAGTTAAAACTTCTGGCAGAAACATACAATGTAGTAAGCACCACGCACTTAGATTGTGAGATGCTACCTGACCTTTTGCAAAAAATAATGAATCAGTATGATACTATAGGGGCTTATAAGAAAGGTCATTATCACAGGCTAAACAGGTTCAATAATATATTCTCTTGGAACATGCAAGTATGGGCTTGTCTGTACCTAATCAAAATCACTGGTAGCTTATTTCATACTCATTATACTTTGGTTTTCCCTGACATGTTAAAAAAAAATTCTTTTCCAAAAGCAACACACCTTAATCTTTTGAAATAAAATGTTTCACTTTGATGAAGATTATACATGAGTGACTGCTGCAAAATCAAGCATTTAAAAGTATAAAGTTATCTAAGTGTAACCAAGCTTAAACATGGTTAACTGTCAAAGCCACAACTCCCCAAAGACAACCTTCTGACAGAGCAAAGTTTCAAGAGGGAAGCAGCAATAGCTACTATAATGTCTTTGTCTTAGGTGTGCTATTTAGCCAAACATGGCATTTCTATCCTTTTAATTAATCTTCAGAGAAGTAATTAACTATGTAGACAGAGGCTATGGTGCATTTTAAAACACATTTAAAGTAATTTTTGCAGACAATAAAGATTTGTATAAAAACAATGACACATGTGTATGATACAAAGAAAACATTAATCACTCAAGAGGATATTAAGTGCCTGAATAGCAAAAACACCAATAACAGTAGTTGATGACAGAAAAAAAATGAGGCATAACTCTTATCCAAAGTAATATATAGATTTTTTTTTTATAGGATTCATTTTGAAGGTAGGAATTAAACCAAACAAGGCAGAAAATCTGAAATACTATTTAAGAATTGTTTCTTAGGACCTCTTAAAATATACATTAATTTTCCCAATTTTTTGTGTTATAAGAAATCCCTACTATTCCGTCAATGGTGATAGTCAATGCCCACCACGTGAAACTACTCCCAGTCCTTGTCTATTCTGTTAACCATGCAAAGTCAAAAGTATTCTCAAGTTAAAACCTTACTATACTCTCAAAAAGAGTTTCCTCAAAATATGGTAGGAAAATGGAAGATGCACTAAGAATTGACTCATGTGAGTAAATTTAACTACAACAATTATTTCCACAACTCTCTTTTAAAATACAAGAAAATTTAATTGCAAGCAAGTTAAAGGACTAAGAATTAGATCTTAAAATGACTGTGGCAAGCTTTTAAAATGTAAAACAGACTTTTAACACATTATCAAATACAGGCATTACCTGGATAGACGGCTTGTTTAAGTGACCCAGATTTGAAGTTGTTTGTCTTGGTTCATGTCCTAGGACCATCATATTAGCATTGATCAATCTGAAGGCATCAATAACAACCTGTAAAAACAAGGTGTCAAGTCAATTCCTTTTTAAAAGCAAGTGATGATGCCAAGCAACAGTGGACAAGGCATGATCAACTTGCATCTGTTTCTGGCCTATTTCCAGAAAATCATTTAATTATAATATTAATAAAAAAGAACCTCCTGCTGACTGTGCCATCAGCACACCACCCTCTATCTTGTAATGTAAGGTGACACCAATTACTGCAATTTTCACGAAGCAGTAAAGAAAAACATTAACTTTGCATCTTTATTATTGAACTATGTCATTACTAAACTTATAAAACAGCCTTTATTGGCGTGCATATGTTTGTCACCTAAATTTTACCTAATCAAAATGAATGACAGAGAAACTAAAACTGAAAGTGAGCACAAGCTAAGGGACCACATCTAAAGCCCAGCCCTGTCACATCAATTATACCACCACAGTACTTGAAATGACAACAAAATTACAGCCAGTAAGGCACTTGTCCACATATTCCCTTCTAGTCAGATACTTTTTACTTCTTGTGACTATGAAAGACTTTATACCTTGTCTGATGGCCTTAAATGTCCAAGCCACTTTCAAGGATAGGAGACACAATATAAAAAAACCAAGGTCATCTAAGCTTTAAGTCAGGAGCCTGATACAGAATGATAGGGCCCTAAATTCACAATAAAGAAATAATAAAAAGATATCCTTTTTGGGGGGTTTGTACAGTAAGATGTCAAATTGTTACATGATCCATACTAAAAGGTTAACAAGAACAGCATACTATCCTATCACTGTCAAGCTCCTGTCCATCATCTTGGGTTGAAATAATTTGCTAATAAGGTGTTTAAACATTGGAAGTTTTATGTAAAATCATGTGAATTTTGCATCTTTAAAGGAATCTGACTGAATACATTTGTCACATAAAACAACCTTCAAGCAACATAACACAGTATTCCTAGATTTGCCCTTTAAAAGTGCTGAACAACCAAGACTTGTCAATGTTTTAAAATCTATTCTCAAACAGACTTGTTCTCATCTGTACAATTGCTATTTGAGGATTTAAGATTAAAAATATTTATTTTTATGTTAAGCTAACTGAAATCTAATCAAGTCTGAAAACTGTTCACAGTAAGTAGTGCTACATGTTGTATGCTAAAGAGCAAGATTTAAAAAAAGAAAAATCACCCTTTCTAAAAAGTTGTCATGAAATGTCCAAAGAGTACCATAACAGATACAAAAACAGACCAAAATATTATGACGAGTGAATCAATTTAAGGTGCCTGTCCACTCTGGGTTGGTCTAAAATACCAACTTTGAATTTTGCTTTTATTGCTAACAGTCAAATTTTCCCCAAAGACTACTCTTGCCTCAAAATAAAACCAAGCATCCCCAGAGCATGAATGATTTAATAGTTTGTGAAAACTTTCTTTTAATACAATAACCTTAATCTAGACTTAACTTTCACATTTATATATAAACAAATACAGCCTTAGTTGTTCATACTTAAACTTTTTAATCATCTATTTTTTTACCACAACATACTAATAAAGCCAGGTGTTAAAGTCACACATTTTAATCAGATGTTACCATAAATAATTTCAAACAATTGTTAAAAAAATTTTTAACACCTGGTGATGTAATAGTTATATCTGTGGACTCCCATAGTCGACCGCGATTCAAGTCCCAGACCTGGCAGCTTAAAACTCACACCAGGCATGTGTGCCTAAAATCCTGAGAGGAGACTGGAGGAGAAGGGACTGTGGTGTGGCCATCCCCTTTGGGGGGTGATTTCTTGTTTTCTGTCTTTCTCTCCTGCGAGCACATGTGCCCTATAGCAAAAACCTCTTAAAAAAGATGTAAACTTTTCTCTCATATTTTTCTCATATTTTGTACTAAAAAGCAGATACAGTAGTATCAAGTTAAAATGTGAGCAAAAGAGAAGAAAAGTGTCCATTCTGACAGATAGGTATACAACTTGAACAAATTAAGAACTAAGAATTGCCAACCTATTAATGGCAAATAAATTTAAGAGCAAAGCATCATATTGGGCTATTTTATAATTCTATTTTAAGATGTCAATAAAATCATCTGGAGGAAAAAAGAATTCCACAAAACTGAAAATTTCACTATATATCAGAGCAAAATGATTACATACTTTGTCATACTGAATGCTTTCAAGCTGAAACAGCAGATAGCTATTTTATATGCAAAAGACTCTACTATTTCTCTGGGATACTTTAAGCAGGTGTGACAGTTCATGAACAGAAAATGAAAATACCAGTAAGCAGACAGTATGATCTGTTGAAAACCAATCTGCAATAATTTTTGAAATTCTATTTAAAAATTAGGAGGAAAATTCAAGGACTTAATTTACTATTCAAGTAATAAATGATGGCCTATGTGAACATGCTTAGATGGACGAATCCTGAGTAGTGATGACAGCCAATGGAAAGTGATTACACTTAAGATTAATGGAATTTGCTGCCATCACTATAGCAACTGTCTTAAGGAAACTAACATGTTCAACAACCTGCAGACCAAAATTATATTTAGAATGCAATAAAAATATAAATATGGCAATAAAGTGTACATTTTAATTCTGCACAATTTTATAATTGGTTTTTGTACCATGAGAATAAGTGGGTCTTTTCTTTAGAACAACCTACCAAGATAGACTCATTAATGTCCAGTGTACTAATGAGCAATGGGTGAAGAAGGTGTTAATTATACCACAGTAAGATTCTAGAAAAAGCCCTAGTGAGCACTTGGAGGTGTGCTGATGCTGAAGGCATTTCTCCATGTTTGTGTATTTACAGCATGATGCAACAGAATGAGAGCTAGGTGGACACTCTATGGTTAAGAACTGAAATCATAGATACAGCATACTGAACAAAGATTCCACAAGAATTAATTAAAGTAGTGGGGGCAGGGAAAATACTCAAATATTTTGGAGCTCTCTAAATGTTTTTAAACAATTCGTGTCAAAGCATATATATATTAAATCAGTTCGGTTTGAGTTTTATAAACTCAAAAAGTAATTTAACCAAAAATCTTTGCACAAAAATTACCTCCCTAATATGTAACAACAAAAGGCTTTCAAGTATAGGAGTATTTTCAGAAATATGATGTCAGATTTTTAAAATTCCTTTCCATGCTGAAGTCCTGCACACCACAATGAATCTCTACGCACCAGCCTGACCATTTAATTTTTTCTGGTACAAGTGCCTTGAGACTTTTCAGAGGTCATTGCAACAGTAGACAGCTTATAACAAAACCATTAGCAGTTTGGCTAGCTTAGGGAAACCTCTTACTTTCCTTTTTTGTTTATTATCACTGCATGAATCTGCAGCATATGATAGTTTATAATTTCTCAGGCTTGTTAAATTCATGTTAAAGGTCTGTTTTCTTGTTGAATAAATTTTGTTCATATAATGCTGCCTATTTCATACACTCAGTCTTTAATAGCACCTTTGGTCTATGCGCAACTCACAGATCAAAACAGAGGACTAAAATAGGGGTTGATGATGCTATTTACATGTGTGATTCCT